TAACCATAGAGATTTAATTAATATTGCATTGTTTACAGATTACACAAATCGATAACAAATCGTATTTATTTGTTTATAACTTACGGATCTGATCGCAAAAATATAGAGTATGCACTTGTCACCCGAATGCCTTGGTGCTTTGAAATATCCTGGTAAGGCAAACAATGCACCTTTTTTTCTTATAACAATGCCATTATAGTATAACTTTTTTTGCAAATATATATGTAGCTTTCTGGGAGAACGTGAAAAAACCTTCTCTCATAAAATATTTAGAGTTTCGATTACGCGAAGGTGATATGAAGGATGTAAAAACGGAACACCATAGTTACAAATTAGAACTAAATATTATCACAGAATACTGCGCTGAATCACCCGAGATCGTGCAGAAAGTACTAAAATGGAAAAAAATATTTTAAGGAAAGTTGATTTTATTTATTGTTTTACGCCTGGCTGTGTTGCACTGGTCCGTCACCAACTACCCTGTCAAGCGCTGTTTGGCAGTGGGAACGAGCGTGGTTCTGTTGGTGAGCATGCAGTAAATTGTATGTTAGGGTTCAGTAGGAAAAGTAAGACAACATGACCACCAACTACCCTGTCAAGCGCTGTTTGGCAGTGGGAAAGAACGCGTTTCTGTTGGTGGCAGGCGTTATCCTTTCAAACAAGCTGGTTATATATATATTTTTTTTATTAATTATCCTTATAATACATTAGCGAGATAAAAACTCTAAAGAAGTAAATCTTTTCTGGACTTTACACCAAAATATTCACACTGAGATCAAGTTATACGAGGAAAAAGTACATCTACAACGAGTAAGTTGTCTTTATGGTATATTCGAAAATTTTTTAATGACTTTTGTTTTATAACATCTAACAATATTTGGATGAGAAGAGCAAACTGAACGATCTGAAAGATCAAATTAATATTAAACAGGTTAGCGTGTTGGCTTGACACTTAATTGCACCTGTTCTTAATGTTTGTATACTGAAAGGTTCGTTTATAGACGCAACATATATTGGATGCAACAAAAGAAACGCTGTCCCAAAACCTCACATTACAAAGAACAGTCGTTAAACAACACTTGTTGGGTAAGACGGATGTATCACGTATTGAGAATTCGGAACCTGTAACTGGACAAAAACGATCTTACGAGGAAGAATTACATTCAACGCCACCACCAAATAAGGTCAGTATACGACTTAAATTTAGCTAGCAAAACGTCTTTTAACCATTTGACTACTTTTTAAATGCATAGATCAGAACAATAAGTGCGGGATGCGATAGTGATTCACCACCCTACGACGAAGATTATTTCTCATCAGACTCAGATTCTGACTCCGAGATTTTACCTGTTCCTCTTACGAACGTCTTTCTCGAAACTTCCGTTGAGCCTGAGAGAAATCCAGACCAGACAACTGAATTGGATACATCTTTAATATCAACAAAGAAAGTGGAGGTTAAGGGTCAGAAAATCGGAAGACCATACATTACTCACGACATAGCGGAGGAAGTCCTCAAGAAATATCGAATGTGCGTTTTGGCGGGCAAGAAGTTGATATACAATGGTATAGACGTGTTGGACCTTGTTCGCTCAAACATGAATAAAAATAAGACTACAAAAACTCCTCTATGTATTGGTGTCATTAACTTCCATAATCCCGACTGCACCAAGTTTTTACCTGATGACTTTAAACACTTTATTGCCAACCAACTTCAAGACTCCGAGATCAAGGCTGTCAACTTTGCTACCGAATTAAGCATCGACAAGTTTGTGGTGGACTGTGAGGAAGAAGTATTGCAATTCTTGGAGAAGTTCCATGATGTAGGAGATTTGGAGTCTTTGGCGAGATGTCTGAATGAAAATCCGATTGATATGTCCGTCGCATCGAACGATCTTATTTATGTGCGGACTCTCTTCGATCATTTCTTCTTCCTATACAGGAATGACATTCTACTACAGTCCATGTCTGAAAGCGAGCTTAATGCGTATGTTTGGACTCCGTTATTTAGGAATGCCTTTCTCGGAAAGGATGATATGAAATTAAGTTGCGGGGAGCTAGCTTCTAAGTCATACGAAAAACTCAAAGAAATCCTAAACATTGCTGGTCGTAGTGCTCCAAAGTTAGATGGTAAAGGATTCCTTAAATCTTTAGGCACCGAGATCCTTGCTCAAGAAGACGGTGTCCTAAACACCCACAGCAAAAGGACAGGAGATCTCCGAAAATTAGAGTATTGCTCCAAAGTGATCCTCACAACCTTATTCTTTGTGCTACCCTCTGCCGCCAAAGCTGATATCACGAAAATCGAAACTTACAATCTTCAATCGAATGGATTTCATCTCAAAATTTCTGCATCGAAGTATTTGTTTGAAGATACCATTGTTACGATGGATTTACAGCATGTGGAAGTTCCAAGGACCGTGGAGGGATTTTCTAAGCTGGTGGTTGGTGCAAAAACAATTCTGTCTTGGAAGGCGCGGACTAAAAATAATACGATGGCTTTTTATGAGGCATTAAGGAAAGGTCATAAACGCCTAACAAATGGGGCCTTTTTTTCGCCAATAAAGATATCTGTATAGATTGGACAAGTGGATTGTAATATGCGGAGGAGAATCTCATTTTAATTCTCAACCTCGATGTAATTGGAATGATCACGAAACGGTTTTTTCCTATTTCCTATTATAATCAAAACCCTTCAGTCTATTTTATCTTTGACACACATGACCTGGCTGATATATATCGTAATCTAAAATAAAGCTTCTTGATAAGATCAATGTTCCTATAGATTTACATGGTAACGCATATAATCCCTAACTCAGTTTTTCTTGAAATAACTATGTGTGGATCTTCGTAATACCATATTTCGATAAGAACGGTCCAATTCTCACCACAGAACTCTCTCGAGCTGATCACGCATTAATTGTCTTTCAAATTCTTCCTTATTTTTATAAAAATGTTTTTACATGTTTCTCGTTGTTTGCCTTGTACCTCTATTTTAAAGGGTTTGATTTATTCCTCCCTTGAAATCCTGCTTCTCTCTGACATTTATATCGTTTAATTAGCCAGTCCCTTACTCTCTATATTTTGACTTTTTTAATTATCGTTGCTATGATACTTTGGAGAATGTTTACTTTTATAGTCATTCGAACTGAGCCGTGACGGAATAATTGCCTGCAGAATTTGAAATCCGAAGCGTGGACCTGCCGAGATGCATATATCGGTAATTCGTGATACGTGGCGATCGATACATACCTACCCGATTATCAGCAGAGCTGGCACGCCCATCTTTCTTTTTTCTGTGAAAGTATACGCTATTCGTCTTGAGTAGGACATCGGCTCTAGGAATAAAATCCTAACGGCTCGTCGAGTAGTGTTGCTTATGTATTTTCCCGCCTATTAGTAATACACCAAGACCATTTTTTCTCTGCAACGCTTTATCGTAACCATGAACTCGACCAACAAACGAAAAGAAGCTGTCACATCAGAGGCGCCGTCTACAAAGAAGTTATCACGAGAGGCCCGCAAACGTAGAAATAAAAGACTTAAGTGGGAACGTGAGCACAGACACGAACAAAATGGATCTCCCCACGTACGAGAAGACGTAGCAACTAATTCTTCGACCAACCTTGATATTGTATTCGATCCGTCGAGGGTATATTTATTTTTGAGTTATGAACTTTAGATTCGAGGGTTCGGTTTTTGTGCTGATAGGAGAATTACCTAAGTTACTTGTCACGAGTTTGCTTCGGCAAGTTGTGGAATTCAACAGGG